TGGATACCTTCATAATACACTTATGGTAAAATGTTTTTATTTCTGCATTGCAGATTGTGAATCCCAGCAAAGTACTCCAGAGCAGAAAAGACCAACACTTCAGCCTATTAACCCTGATGACTCCCCTTTCAGCAGTGCCGCCCCTAAGCGTACCATCAGCAGAACCTATACACGCAAAAAGCTCATCACATGACAAGTTTGATGTAATGTTGAAATTCAGCTGCTAAAATATCTACCAAGGGTCTAATGAAGAATGTTTCATGGAAGCTCTGTCCTAACTATATGTCTTTGAATAAGGAATCAAGTCAAGGTTCACATTTCAGCTTTTGGACAATGCTTTAAACGTAGTACAAACAAGTGCAATTTTTCTTGCTCCAGCACCCTGGTTGTCCTTGGCTCAGAAACTTTACACCTGCTGATTCCAAATAGCCTGACCAGATAAGTGATGACCATAGAGCAAGCAACTTGTTACCAAAGGGACCCCTATGTGTGGAAGGAGGCTGAGTACAAATATTGATGTGCTTGAAGGTCTTAAAGACTCTTATTTGGTGTGAGAGTTGTTGCTGAAGCCTGATTTTATCTTCTGTCACTTTTCTTAGTGTCATTGGGAAAACCCTCTTATGCATCATACTGTGACAGAAAAGTCTCGAGAGAGTGGTCCTAGTACCTGTATTTTTTATAAGCTAATAGTTCTGACATGCAACAAACTTGCATTATATCCTTACGGCAGGAAACAGAGAAGGCCGAACCATCCACTGGAGGTTTTCTCCTGTTGCGTGCCCTACAGTAGACTGATAAGCCGGTGACGCAGCATAATGTAATGCGACGAGTGACTCGCTGCTGCCACTTTCAGGACAAGTTGTCCACTTTGTCTTATGTGTATCTACCGAAGGAAATATATAATTGATGAAATGTGAATAGGCAACAGGATATATGTATATACAAAAAATATTGTGTGTGTTTTATTTTTTTTGTGCGTCTTGACTTTTGTTCCACACAACATTTCAATGTACATATTGTGTAGATGAGAGAAAAATACTTTTAATAAGGTACTTTTGTAACAATAAACTATTATTTCACAAATTAATGACTATGGTTGTTCCATGTATGTTTTTAATGTGTTGTACCTGGCCTACTCGGTTCTATTCAGTTATTTTCATGCAGACAGAGCAGTGGGGAAACTGCTGA